ATCTAGGATAAATTCAATGAAATTATTGTTTAATATTGAAAATATATTTAAGATTTGGATTTACTATTGAAGGTGACATGGATTAGGAAAAGGGACGGACATATACTGAGCATTGAACGTATCAAATACACGACTGACCCCAGATTTACACCACTTTTCGATGGCAATCATTGGGTTCTTAGGATCAAAAATATTAGCATAAATGATGCGGGTGTCTATCAGTGCAAACTCACCAGCTCTAAGACCAGAAACTTCGTAATCAATATCTTAAGCCTAAATCGCAATCACTTTCTAAACATTAATCTGATTTTATAGATTGAAAACTCGACAACTATTTTCCGGGTCAATGTGTTTGGTAGTAAAATGTATTGAATATTTTAGAAATGTATACTAATTTGTCGATTTGCATAGCAGACCGGGATCATTCAACCAAAAGCGAGTTGATAGATATCCTGAACCTATTAGACATGGATAGTGAGGAACAGAATGAGAAGATTCTTGAGTTCTTAGAGAAGGCCGAAGTGATCATCAAAAAGGCTGAGGACTCGACCGGAACACTACAGCCAGAGATGATTGTCAATGAGTTTCTGTCGGATCCAATGCCTGTCAAAGACTTCAATATATCTGAGGATGGAGGGCTGACCAGCTTTGAGGGCAAACTCCAGAATATGACAATCCATGGCCTCAAACAATTGAAAATCACTAATATATCCGTCAATTTGGGTTTAATTCAACTGAAAGTCCAAATGGATTTGCCTGTCATTAGTCTTCAGGGAATCTATGATATCGATGGAAGGGTTCGTAGGTTTTCATCATTTATAATATGCTTTCAATCATTAAAAATATGATTATCTTTTTAAAAAGCCATACAAATAGCTTGCTTTGCATTTCTATTTTATAAGCTTTTTGAATAGATTTCTATTTAATATATAAATGAAATTTTATATTCAAATAATTTATTTCATGCAAAGTTTTAACAAAAATTTCTTTAGTCATAAAACATCGAAAGATTTATTTTGGTATTACATCCACTAATGATCTCTAAAATTGATTTTTTGTGTTATTTTTATACCAAATCTCTCTCTCTCTCTCTCTCTCTCTCTCTCTCTCAACTCTCGTTGTTTAAACAGTTTTCTATTAGAGTTTATTTGGATTTTGAAATAATCATTGAAACAAAAAACATTTTGAATTCAGAATTTTTTGTATTATAATATAATTTCCAGAGACAATAGCCTCTAAAATGAGAAATATTATAGATTTTTCACTGAGAAGTCTATTCATTACTATGTGTTAAAAAATATCATTTGAATTACAATATAATTCAATACAATAGTGGAGTAGAGTTTAGAGTTTGTTTTGAGATTGAGTTGTATTGACATAAATGAAGGTTTGAAATACAATTGAAAAGAAAAATAAGAAACAAAAAAATAACATAAAAATAAAATTCAATTCAATTCACTCGTATAGAGAGAGAGAGAGAGAGAGAGAGAGAGAGTACCATTCATTGCATTCACTGATTCGGTTATATTTTCACCTTTTGAGAGAGAGAGAGTGAGTGAGTGAGTGAGTGAGTGAGAGAGAGAGAGAGAGAGAGAGAGAGTAGAGTAGAGAATGAATCGATTTTTATGTTTTTCTATTTCTATAACTTTAATATAATATAACATTATATATGATATAACTATTGCTTTTTGAAGAGTGAAGAAAGCAATTCTTATTACCCTTAAGTAAATACGAGAGAAATTTGTTTCACGGAATCAATGGCCCAACGATTCTAACGATTCTTGTAATTCGTGTAATAATAGGTAACATTCTTCCGGATCTATGGCGACGGCAACTTCCATATGAATATCACAGACATTGAGATCAACGCCTATGGATCCCTTGAACAGACCAGCGATGGCCGCATACAAGTCGGTGACATCGAGCTGGACGTCGAGACCGGCAATATTGAGATGGAAATGGAGAACCTGATGGGAGGGGGTGTGATGGGAGGCATCAGTAATTCAGTGGTGAACCAAATCAGTAGTTTGATATTCAATCAGTTGAAGGACCGAATGCTGGAGGAGGTATCCACGGATGTGAAGCGTATGATTAACACACAGCTCATGCATATGCCGATGGATTTCCTGAACAAGAAGTCGTCCAATGTTTTCGATAGTATACTGGACTCCGGCATCCGGGCCATCAACGAGTCAGGCCTGGATCCCATGCCTATGCCCGCATTCAAAGACAAATTCAATTACAACCTAATGGTGTTTAATCTGAACGGAGAGATTAAAGTATTTGACGGCTATTTGTCTGGATTGACGAGTTTAGTGAGAACTGGAGATATTATCGCCACTTATAGTAATAACGAAGTGGTCTTTGAGGCGAGTATGGGATTCACGAACTTAACCGGTGGCTACAACTGGACCACTAATCTCATGGGTCAGTTCAAAATCAATATCCACTTTTAGCCATATATCTCGTGATTTGATTAATACATTAAAGATTACCGCGAAATACACTTAAACCTTGATTTATGAACACCACTTGAGGTCAAAAAGTTATGTTTAATATTGTAGGCGTTTGTGTCAGACATTAGATATAGCCATCAATTAATGAGTGAATCATGTCTTGAATATGTATTCATGTCTAAAAAGTATTTTTCTGATAAAAGTGATGTTTATAATTGTGTCATAAGTTTGAGTGCATTCCGCACGTAATGAATATAATGAGAATATTCTGCATATATTCTGCGCAGCAAATAAACTGACTGAATGTTTGTCACTCAGGTGGCGGTCCCTCCGGTTCCTCATCGCTAACCATATCGGGAATCTCATGCTATTTGCGTCTAAAACAGTCGCTCCGAAAGGGAGCCAAACCTCGGATCAGCTCGTTTCGGATCGAGAAGATTAAACATCTGTGGATTGATGTGAACGGTTTGGGCAGTTGGGACTTCATCCTCGAGATTATAATGAATTTGGTGTCAAACGCATTCAAGCTATCCCTGGCCAACGCCATCAGTGGGCCCGTCACTGACGCCATACAGAAGGAATTGAATGCCATTCCCATCAGCTTTCTCTAGACATACACCCAAACACTTCAGTCAGTTTTTAGAGCATTAAATCCAATGCCAATCCTATGACAGACTTGTTTTCACTCAAACTTCCTCTTTATATACCGTATATACAGTTATGTTATCTTATTTTTTGTGTTCATTTCCTACAGAAAGTCAATACAATATCCTTTATATGTATAAATCGATAATTGAATGAATGGCTAAAAGCATATCTCAAATCTCAGACATAAGTTAAATAATTTTATTGAATACTAGATCTTATTGCAGATGTCATTCATTATACAAATAAATTATTCTTTATAATGAATATATAGAGAAAACTAAGAATAGCTATAATTTTTATTCTCAATAAAACTACTATTCATTACAGAATATTCTGGCAGAAAATTTTATTTATTTTTTGTTCAAAGTTTATAAATAATTTATTCCGAAATTCAAATGTATTCTCAAAATTCAATTAAAATATGGGTTTATTTCAATGCGAAGCCTTACTGTATATCTTACTTAATGATAAGATTTATATTATAAAATATAAATTTCAAACATAAATCTAATAATAAATAATTTGATGAAAACTTTTCATTTGGCCATTTTTATTGAATCAAATTCTTGAATTCATTTCATCATATTTTTCTATATAATATAAATACAAAAATCTCTAACATTTCGGCTAAATATTTCTATCGATAATCATATAATTTATAATAAATAGAAAATATTTTTATGATTAAAGATATATATAACAAATGTTGTGAACAGTCGATAAACTTTCGCAAAACGGGGGCAAAGAATTAGGAGTCAAACTTTGCCATCACTTTAATAGTCAAGTTGTGTGAGAGTTGGGAGGACAGGGATGCAGGCATGACATGGGATTATGGATCTGTGGAGAGAGAGAGAGAGAGAGAGAGAGGTCAGTGACAGCTGTTTTGTTTGACCATTAAATAGTTGTGTTGATTAAGACTCGTGAATGGAGTGGTTCTGTATGTAGGGATCAATGGGAGAGACAATGGTTGGTCGCGATAGAGTGGTGGCCAGTCATGAATGGGTCTATTATTATCAGACTTGTGTAACAGAAATACTATTATTGGCATTAATGGTAAGCAGATTCTGTGTTGCCTTCAAATCACTCGCAAGTTCTTTATCTAATGCTAAACAATGCGATTGCGAGTGACTTAGGAATGGCTTTAGTTCTGGTGCTGAAGACGATGTCATGTCACTGACGGCACTCATAGTCTGGTCTCTCATGTGATTAGCACTGAATGTATATAATTTCTGGCACTCATTCACACCGTTGTGTTGGCTTTTATTATTCATTACACTAATTGTGTTGAGTTTTGTGTAGTGAAAGCGATTGTCATACTGTTGTTGAGCACCATTCGAGTGGTTATTGTATACAACCTTTGGTTCGCTGGAGTCGAGCACTGGTAGCTGGGAGTGGAGTAGTGGTGGGGGAGTGGAGCGGAACGTATCAAACGACACACTCGTACTGATTATTGACGACCGATTGGATGCCGTCAACGGGGGCTGAGCCGAGTAATGGGGCCCGAAGTTGGCCACATCAGGTGTGGTGAGGGGGTCCGAGCCGAACCTGTAGGGCTTCAGGCCTGTCGTGTCCCTAATTATGTCGGATATCAACGCGATCTCCGGCTTATTAGTCAGAATAGTCTTCATCTCTAAGTCGCTATTCTTGACGTTTTGCAGGATATCTATTGGACCTAATTTGGGCGATAGGGTCGACGTGCGGACCGATGAGCATCTCTTGGAGCGAATCAATGGCATCACAAATAGGATGACCACTAATATGAATGCAATTACCAGTCCTATTATGTAGCATACGATACGAAATTTAGGCAAATCTATGACAGCGTCTAATGTATGCGATGTTTGGCTAACAGTGACACTGAAGTTCTTGTGGGCGGAACCGCCTTTGTTTGCGGCCAAACATATCAGTTGTTGACTGTCGTGGAGCTGAAGATCATTAATAGTGATATAAGAGGAGACGAAAGTCTCATTAACCGCCACTTTCTCAATGAGAAAGCGTTTGTCATCGTCTAAGGAGACGTTTGTGCGGTCTCTGGGGTCGCCGCCGGCATCGACACCAAACTTCCAGCTGATGGATGGCATCGGGAAACCACTGACTGTGCAATAGATGGTTAGGTTTTGGCCGATGTTTGAGTGAAAATGCGTTAATTGTGTGTGAATTACGGGCGAACACGAGAATTCATCCAGGTTCAGTGTATGCCACGAATAGCCTTAAAGCACACAAACAAATAGACTTTAATTCAATAATATATGAGAATATTCTGTAAAAACAAAATCTATTTAAATATAAATCAAAAGAATAAGAGATTTCTGGAGAGATATAAAGAAAAGAAATAATTTATTCACTCTTTTCTCCTCTCATGTACTGAATGTTGTATTACAAACATGTAATGTATATAAACAGTGTATAAATGTTTAATACTTTTTTTGCTAAAACAATTTTAAATACAAATAACATTTAGCTATAAGAATGTTAATCACTTTTTGAGAGTGAATGCACTGTAAATATACTTCACAATTATGTTGTGTGTGTTTTTTATTAAAAGCTATAACAAAAACAATACTTTATAATAGTTATACATAATACTAAAATTGTAGCATGATATTATGTGAACTAATTGCTCAAAAGTGTGCACTAAAAGTGTGAAAAATACAGTAAAATACAGTGAAAACACTCGATTCACACTTCACTTCCACTTTCACTCCCCATATCTCTTAAAACAATAATACTTTTAATGATGAAAGTATGCGATGAAAGCAATTACTGGATGAAAATTGTTATGCAATTTATAATATACGAGATATTGTTTTGCATGAAAAACATAAAAAATCTTTTACCAAATCTATTTGAGCGGTGAATGCAGAAAATGAATGTTCATAGTTATGATTATGATTATCATGGACAATAATTTATCAGCATAAGCAATAATATATTACGAGAATTAATAGAAAAATATTTTGAATTTTCACATTAAAAACAATAGGGTTGAGCAGAATATTCTTTATATATTCTTTATACTATAATAAGTAAGGGATAGTTTAATTTCATTATAAGAAATTTGATTCAAAACCGTAGTTGTTTTAAATGAAATTTATTTTTATTAGTTTTTATAGTCAATATATATTATGATTCTGTTTTCGCTAGCGTTTACTTTATTCACTACTTTTATTTACTAAAGAATATTCTGTTTCCTAAGTTATTATATATCCTGAAAGGATATTAAGTTATTGTGTATTATATTCTGGTATTAAATCTCGTTTTTTTACTCCAGTCTAACGTCTCTTATATTATTATTTTTTATTATTATATATATTTTTGAATACTTATTATAATATCTCTTAAGTCAGCGAAAAAAGGAGTATAGAAAACATGAACGCATTACTTACTTAATAGTAATGCCATTAATAGTTCATATATTTGTGTAAAGTAGCAGAAAAATGCACAACGAAAACATGAATAGATTTTAAAAATTAATACCATTTTCAGACTAAACACTAGTATTGTGTTAGGTTTGAAAACTACAGAATTTATGTATAGTATTATAGATATAATATATTTTAAAGGAATGTCAACACTTTGCTACAGAATATCATAAGCTCTTTAAACATCCACTAAAACCTGGAATAAGCGCTTAATTGCATAAGAATTTAAAATATAAGTTGAAGCAAAATATAATTATTTATTGAATTCTTAAGTGCTCTCACTTAGCAATCAATTCTTGAATAATTTTTAAAGAATATTCTTGAACAGTGTACACAAGTGTAACACATATACACTCTGTTATATGGAATAAAATATTTACCTAATGTATTTATATATAATATTTATGCAAAGTCTAGAGTATATCTAAAAATCTTATTTTAAATCTCCTTTTATGTAAATAAGAATCGATACACCAAAGTGTGTATACATTGGACTAATACAGCCTAAAACCAACTCATTATTACTGTATTATTATATTGTTATTATTTTGGCAAATATGATATAAAAGCAAATTTATGAATAATTTTAATCATATTTATACGCTGTGTGTTTCACGAGTGAATAAATCCTTATATAATATATTTGGAAATAATTTATTATTAGTATTATTAACAAATTGATAGAAGAGCTGTCAGTTTTGGCACAATTCAACGCCTCGATAGTCATCTAAAGGTTTGATTAATTATTTATCTGATTATGGAGTGACTGGTCTGTCACTGGGAATCGGCCATAAGAGTGGGGAACTGGTGGGGAACTGGTAGCTCAGTATTGTCAGCCGTTCATCACTATTATATTGATATATAGATATAATACTCCAGTCGTCTTAAGCCGATCGCAATTGTTGTCTAATTTAATTAGTGATGCATTGCTTGCCTATTGTCTTAACCCCTGATATTCATTCAATTATATCAATAAACTGTTTGAGAGAAATGCTTATCTCTCTTATACCCATAGATTAATTGCTATTTAAACCGCACACCGATTGGTCAGACATGCAATCGTGTTATTCAAACACAACATACGATTAAATATTAAAACAATGGCACAAATAAAAGCAACAAAAATTTTTGTAACAGATTTTTCTCTCTAGCAAAATGAAAAACAAAAGAAATTTATTATAATTTTAATTTACTTTAAATATTCTGACAGAATATTCTCTTTTATATATTACAATAATCTCTCGTTTATGGCGTAAACAAAGCCAAAGTACATAAAACTATTGCTAACTTTAGATAACATAAGCTATTAATTCGTTGCATTGAATGGTAAATAAAATCCATTTTAATATATTTAGAAATCTGATAACATTTTGTGCACTCATGAAATGTTGTTTAATAAAGAGGTTTCAGTGTACATACAAATACTCTTAGCTCTCAAGAAATCAATATTTCAAAACATTTACAATATATGAGAAATGAGAGGACAAAATAATATTGTTTAATATCTAATGTTTACTCAAACCAAATAAAAAAGTCTACTTTTTCCCGTTCAGTTTCTATATATTCAGTGCATTCAGTAAAATTAAAATCTAAAAGCAATATAATATTTTAATTTAGAAAATGTTTAGCAAAAAACAAGGGCAACAAAAATAAAAACCCTTTCCCTCGCTATTCCCTCTTTAATTTTAAAATGACATAAATTTTTTGGTAAAACACAAAACATTTGTGTTTTGAAAATTTCAAACATAATTATATTTTATTGATTTTTTCATTTGTCACACAAATAGAGTGCATTTGTCTGTAAAATACATTTCTTTTAATATATATATATATATATATTATTAATGCCATAAATATTACCTTCGATTCTGTGGGGCGTCTTACATGTGGGCCATAGAGTCTGGGGAACGGTATTGCGGGTCAACCACTCGACCGTATGCCTGAGTTGACAGTCACAGTGCCAGGGGTTTTGATGGAGATGGAGGGCGTGCAGGCCGTGGAGGCCTATCAGCGCCGACACCGACAGAGTTCGCAACCGATTGGCGTCCAGTCTTAGGGATCGGAGCTCTTGAAGACCTTTGAAGGCGTTGGCGTCGATGGTCTCGATTTGACACAAAGACAAGTCTATTGTCACCAAAGAGTTTAAGTTTGCGAATGAGTCCGATCTGACGGTACGGATGGGGTTCACACACAGCGACAACTTTCGCAACGATTTGCACTTTTGTAGGCTTACTGTCGGTATATATTCTAATGAATTGTCGCACAAATCGATTTCAACTAAATTTGTTAACTGAAGGAACGAGTCGTCAGATATATCTCCTGTTATATAAAGCCATGTGTGAGTCAATGGGAGAGACAAACACAAAAACATTATAAATAAAAGCGAAAGAATATTCTCTTAAGAATAGGAAAATAAGAATTCCGACGAAAATTATGCGAAAAGACAGAGAATAAGGGAAAAGAGTGCAAAATATTTGATTTAATTTGAATAATAAAAGAGTGGAATATATAATAAAACTCTCATCTCTTTTAATTCTTTCTCTCTCTCTCTCTCTCTCTCTAACTCACTCACTCACTCACACACACACATACACACACACACACACACACACACACACACACTCACTTACTCACTCACTCACTCAATGCAAACACTATTTATGTCTCGCAATCACTCGTTTGCAGTCATTTCCACTCATTAAGAGTTAATTAATTAAACTCCAAATAAAACATAACAGAAAAAAATCATTTTATTATTATTAGTTGACACATGAAATCAAAAATCTTCTTAATTTAACTGTTTATTCAATACTAGTTCCTATCATATGATTAGAGACCCAAAAAAATGCAAATATAAAAAAATTCTGTTTGCAATGTAAGAGAGAAAAGTGGGAAAAAGTTTAGCACTAATTAATTGAGAGCTACAGCTATGAGACAATAAATTACTGAACACACCCGGGGTCGCCAACGTGGGCTTTGTCTACCAATAAAAGCACACATTTATGTGAGAAATGGTTATGAGAATAGGCCTATAAATTATTCCCGACGTCTCATAGCATTTAACTCTTATCTGTTGTTTTGCTAAACTTATTACATAAACAGTCAAATCCCTGGTCTAGATACCCGTACAACCCGTTGGTTATACAGCACCAACCCTTATATTTATGTAGTATGCATGCGACTGTGTGTCGTGTATAATATGATATGATATCTAATTATATAATATAAAAGTCTAATCAATTGATTACCTAATTTGCATTTAGACATAAAAAGCTTTTGCAGATTAATTAGTCGCCGCTCTCTAAACACTTGCGCTGGAAGTGTGTGTATATTAATACCAGAAATGTTCAATACTTGTGTGGCGCTGGGGATACCAACGGGTATACCATCTAATTTATGATCACAGTTGACCGTCTCCTTGCCGTTGGACCACTTGCACTCGCAGTACTCGGGACACCCGGCGCCGCTCCCGGTGCCCCCAATCAGACCTATGGTCGCGGCCAACAGTATGGACGCCAATAGCGACTCGCAATCAATTTGATGGTTAGGTTGCCGTCCTTTTCGCCTTTTGTGCCACATTTTGGTCTCACTTTTCTCTCTATATATATATTCTTAACGGTTTATATTCAACGCGAATATAAATGGGGTTTTTGTTTAACTTTTTATTTCCGATGCCTTTCCAATCGTCAGTCCCTTTTCGGATACCAGTTATCAGTATTTCTTGTATTTCTTGTATTTCTTTCTCTCAAATGATGAGTTGGGAGAAGAGTCGGACAACAAATATGTTGTGATTGAGAGAAATGCGAGCAAATGAACAGAAATGATGAGAGAAAACGCTATTTATTTGCTGTCCTTTTGTTTATAATTTTAGAGCTGAAGACCACTTCTCTGGAAAAGAAATTTAATGAAATTGAGTACAAAATAAAATGACAATTCATTTGATACTATATATTGTCGATCACAAGTGCCCGCAATGTACGCGATCGACATGTGCAAAGGGGATGGGAGGGCAGGCATATTATTTATGTGTTAGCCTCATAATGTATTCTTTAGATGTTTCGTACGATTTTTTTGTATAAGATTTTTGTCACAAATTTCTAGATATAAGGATAAAACACTTCAAAAACATAACTAAGCGCTCAATCTCTCAAAAAATTTCCATATATTTGACAATATATTTCATAAGCTATTGTACACCTCATCACACCTTTCCCTATAAGCCTTTGCCATCACATTATAGCTCCAATACCCCCGACAGTGCGGAAGGTCTTGCATACACACCATCTTTTAAATACATATCTATTGGAAACAAAGTATAGAGAGATATCTGAAGAGAAAATAAATGAAAATCTTTAAAATAAATTATTTTTCTCGAGTATTATATATAATATATATTTTTATCTCTATATTAAATTTGATGTTCGCTTTTCATGGGGTTAACCAGAAAATTATAGTACCAGTGCTTTAAACTGATGGGTTTTTATCTTACGCAGTGTTTCACTAACTATATGTATTGATCAGTCCATCATTTTGTTGGTGTCTTTACTCAAGTAGATAGAGATGTGACACACGAATGGCTGTGCCCTGTAATGGCATTCCCGATGTATCGCTATATTACTAGCTATCAGTCTATTTAGTATTGAATTCATGGCTTAGACATTGGGGCTAATCAATATATAGTGTGTTTAATTAATAAACTCCTTTTTATGACCAGGATATTAGCGGACAGTTACTACGTGTAGCTCTTAGCAAATAAGTGGCCAAAAGTCAGAGGTTGCGCTCCGTTTGAGTGTAACTATTGCTTAATAAATATAAAAGTAAGACTCAATTGTTTGCTCACAAACGGCTGACTTTTTGATGAGATTTTTTAAAAAATAATACCACTGTCTATAGCGGTGGTGGTGTAGTGTATTGTAATAGTGGCTTAAAGTCCATAATAGTTGAGTAACGGCTCTCAAAAGACTCATTTTTGGTCACAAACTCAAAAAACACACAATTCTTTTGCTTTCGATGGGTATGTGTTTTGGACGCAACCCACGGCATCCACTTTCCTAACTCTCAATCGACTATTAGATTTTTATGGGTTTAAAAAGATTGCAATCAATTAATTTTGTTGTGTGCCATTCGAGTTGCAATTGTTTTTTATTTTCACTTTTGATATATCATACGATCTCTGGAGTGAAATGTTTTCAAATACTGTGTAAGAAAAAGAGAAAAAATTCTGTGACTTTTCAAACATGAAATATAAGACATTTCTCTATAGATGTATGATTTTCTGTATGAGATGTATGGATATACTGTATCACAACATAATACTCAACTAATTTCATACAACCTTTTCATTCATCGCATATTATATTACTGCATATCATAGTTTTCTCATTCATTAAACAACATTTTACACTAGAATTTAATTAATTCAAAATATTCTGCGAAAAGTGAGAAATTTTTGAAGAGATTTTAGTGTTGTTTTGTGTTTTAGGTGGCGATCAATAAAAATTTTATATCGAGTCGGATATACAAGAATTATGTGCCATAAAAATCAATTCTAATTACACTCTCCCACTCGCTATGTATATATAATTTTACAGAATATTCTGTAATATTCTGTGCGCTCACACTTTTCGCAATATATTATTTTTGTTTTGTTTTAAAGTTTGTAATAAAAGTTTGTTGCTTTATTACCATTACTTATAAGTTATAAGTTATAATTTATATAAGAATTACAATTTTATTTCATTAATAATATTGATAGAGATACTATTCTTAAGGGTTTTTATGATTATAAAACAAAAAATAAATATAAATAAATAATCATAAACTCGCTTTCAAAATGTCATTGATATTAATCAAGCGAAACAAATTAGGACAGCCTTTTTTGGTAGAAAACCCAAAGTGGTATAACTGTACCACTGGTTACTCCCATGCATTCTGGTCGACACAAACCGATGACAGATTATTAGCCAAAACAAAAACAGTGAAACACTATGACAGAGAAATTTTGACTATAAATATGATAAATAACTGGTATATCAATTGTTATGTTTCACATACACAGTAGTAATCAATTCATATGAATCTCTATTAAGTATTGCAGGCAAATGTATTTTATGCCATTTTTTCATGATATCATTTGTTTGACTCAAATAACTTGATATGAAATTATCAAAGGAATTCACTATTTATAATATTTAGTCTCAGTTTCTATATATAAAATATATTGCATTTGATAGCTAAAAATGAGCCTAAAAACTAGGCATTGATTTTGGAGATTGTGTTTGATATTTAAAATGAAGAGAAATTCAGAGTATTATGTGTAAGAGATATACAATATATATATATTGTATATATAACTGATATATATATATATTCCGGACTATTATTTATTTTCAATGCATTTAACACAAGAGAGTTAAGAGCAGCGTTTGGTATCAAACGTATTGATTGATAGATATCTGAGATTGAGTTCAGATTTCAATACAATTTGAAACACTGAGGAGTTTTAAAGCGAAAGAAAAACTTTTCATCCCTTTTCAAGTAATTTATTTACTCTATTTTTTCTGTTATCCCAAATCTTGTTTTCAAAATAAGTACTATTTATATCACTATATGTGTAATGAAAGGATTTTGAGACTATAATTGGATAATATCTACTGATTTTCGTTTCAAAAGCACTGAATTTTATTATATATTAGAAGTTTGGGTCAAAAAGTGGACTTATATTTAGACTTTAAAATTAGTGTTTTTATTGAAAATGTCTTTTGGATCGGGTTATAGATTCTCTATTATAGAATATTCTGTTAAAATGGATTTTTAAGTCTGAAGCAATATATTGTGCAATACTTTTCATATTTATGATTACAAAATGGTCTATACTTATAAAACAAAGTGCATGATATCACATATGATTAGAGACTTATATATTATTTAAAATCATATTTTCAAACATAAAATTTGTGAAAATATCTTACTCTATTTTGATCGACTGGGTGAACTCAATTATTTTGTTTCCCTTTAAATAGTCTGAGAATTATTTGATACCTCATTTATGTTTCGTATAAACTCACGAAGAAAATGTCACTTTTGGGATAAAACAGCCTTTAAATTCACATCTCATCTAAATGTCATCCAAAATGCGATACTTTTTAAGGCTCTCAATACCGTGCGATAAGAGTATTTAATGGTCGATAAAAATTTGCATTTTTGCTCAGTTTTTACTTCCTATCGCACAAAATAATGGCTTATATTTGCAATTTTAATGTACTTTGACCGATAAATAATGACATTTATTGTTTTAATTAATTTGATTTCATTCAAGTCGCTATTTGTTGCAAACTATATATAGAAATCCATTTTAATTAAATTCGTTTTGATTTTTATTTATCTAATATTTACTTAATTTTGAACTTTTTTTACTCAAAACTTTTTGTTATTTTATTTAATCTTTAAATTACTTTTTATGACATTTGTTTGACTTTTGCTACTCTTTTCGCACTGTATTTATAATATTAAAAGTTTTGTTAAGATGTCTGATCTCTAGCCCAATGATAACATAACTTAAAATATATTTAACACTCAATGACTGTCTCTCCGATGACATTATCAGAAAAAACTAGTCGTAAGAATAGACTCGAAATGTTAATACAGAATATGTGTGTTAACCCGAAAAGACATTCATTGCGAGAGAGAGAGAGAGAGAGAGAGTGAGAGAGAGAGAGAGAGTGTGTGAGAGAGAGAGAGAGAGAGAGAGAAATATTTTTTGGACACAAAAGAGATGTCAATTCGTATTTCCGTTTTTAAAGGCAAAGTTAAAAACCGTATTTCAAATTCAATTTTTAACACAGAATTCTCTCCACAAAAGTAATTGAAGCGCAAATGCGGACCAGAATATTAAGAGTTGTCACCAAAAACTCTGTCACAAAACTTTTCCCTTAACTCTTTCCCAATGAAATCACAGTTATTCCCATTTACTGTGAAATTAAATACATTTTGTAATTGAAAAATATTCGTAGAAATCTTTTTGGAAATTCGGAAACTAATAATTTGTTAGTTACGTGATTTAGTAGCTAGTTACTTTTATTGATATTGTATTGTGAACAGTGTTTTTATTTTATAATTAAAAAATATTCTTGGAAATCTTTTTGGATATTCAAAAACTAATAACTAATATTTTGTTATTTACGTGATTTAGTAGCTAGTTACTTTTATTGATATTGTATTGTGAACAGTGTTTTATAGCTGATTGTAATGTTATTTATACGGAGAGTCGACTGAATAAAAGTGATTTTTACACACAAAACAAACTCTATTCTCAATATATCTTTCATCCGATTCTTGTGTCGGAAAAGTTTTAATATAAAATAATTTTGTGATTTTATTTATTTATACGGAGAGTCGACTGAATAAAAGTGATTTTTACACACAAAACAAACTCTATTCTCAATATATCTTTCATCCGATTCTTGTGTCGGAAAACTTTTAATATAAAATAATTTTGTGATTTTATTTGTGTTCGCCTTTTGAATGGAAATGTGTTGCGAAGGGAAGAGCCAAAGGAAACGACTTTCACAACCGAAAGC